CCTCCAACCAGCACTGTCTCCAATATTGGGGGTGGGGGGGTGGGGAGGTCATTGTAACAGTAAAGTTGGGACCTTAACTATAAAATAAATAGGAATTTCTATATGAAGGATGTGGAGGAGGGAAGGCTCCTAATTCATTCTGTCGAGTCAATGCCCGTTACACCGGCTCAACCGATATCTATTGCTGAAAAGCTGCATGTCAAAACCAAACTCTGCAGTTTTTGTATCGGGCACAGAGGTATGTTGAATGCATTAATCTAACGAGAACTTGCCTACCCAGAGTTCTTCCTTCTTTGGCCAAGCAAGCATGCTGGAACCTGTAGTTCTTTAGAAGCCCAAGGTTATGCAAGCTTGGCTAGAGTACAAGCCTAACCCATACCAAGTTTGATCTAACTTAACGATACACACATGCCTATCTCAAAGATAATTATATTTTTAGATGTTTTCCAACATACCTTGGCAAGTGAGGGTGTCGTTTAGAAGGCGCTCTGTGACACAGACAGATAACGGTGGACAGACGATGGAGACAGACGCCAAATTCCGAGAAGGCAGAGTGGAGAGAGAGAGAAACAAATAGGCATGACAACAGACAGCAAGTGAGAGACACAGACAAACATGGCTATCCCCCAGGACACAGAGGGAACATTTTAAGGCTCTCTGCAAAGCAGAAAGTGAAATGCCGACAACCATGGGGAGTTTACACTGAGGAGGCGTGGAAACCCTCCCCTCGGTTCATGTGTACACAGAGCATGTTATGCATGTGCAAAGATAAGACTGCTCACAGAAACACAGAACAAAAATCACGCACAGAAGCACAGCAAATGCACAGCAAAAACATAAAACAAAAAAAGGCACAAATGGCAAATGCTTGAGTCTCTAAATGAACATCCAGCATTTCAAAAGTCGACCAGGAAAGTCTCTAAAAGGGATAGGTTTTATTTTATTCAATAAAGAAAAAGGTGAAAGTGAATGTAAAGCCCAAACTTTTATTTTAGTTTTAGAGAAGAGGGAAGAGGTAGCCCGCATTCACTTGTGTGGTTTTTTTTCAGGCTATTATGAAGCATTTCTTGTATGTTTTTCACATATTTTCTAGACATTTTAGGCTTGAACGTTTTTGTTTTAGCCAATGGATAGCTAGTTACTAGGAGGCGGAGGAGATGGTTGATAGGGGCAAAATTATGTGAAAAAGGCACGGTACTTTTTTTTATTATTGACATGTGACAAGCTCAGGTGCAAACAGGCACCAATGGGAGTCTTCATGTTGAGGTTTGTCTTGCTTTAGGTCACATTCGACAAAATGCTTAGGTGTAAATGGGGGCTGCGACCCCGGTCTCTTTTTTTCCTGTCAGGGAGATTTCCCTTCACTTTCAATCACAAAGAGAACTGTAAATGACAGGAAATCCCTTCTGAAACCTTTGTCACCAAAGCAAGTGTACTTATTGGAAAGATTTCCTCTCTGCTACTTTTTCTGTTACCATACCTCCCAACTCTCCTCATTTGGGGGACTGTCCCTCATTTGGAACCAAATTCCTGTATCCCTGTTTCTTCCTCAATTGTCCCTCTTTTTGGTCTGATATCTATGAAAGTGTTCTATTCAACTACCAAAAGTTTTATTCACTAAGACCTTCATCTTATCTCCTAATTATTTTGTTTGCTATTTCAAAAAGTCAGTATTAAGGTGCATTCAGTTGTCCTAGTGCGTCGACTTGTGTTGCATTTTTTTGGGGTGGTTTTGGTTGACTTTTCCACTAAGGTGTTGGTTTTGCCTTGCGTTGATGTGTGTTGTGTTCACATGTTAAACACACGTGTTGAACTGCTCCCATTCACACCCATTCATTTTGAGATTTCCCTGCACTGGCATTGTGTCCTTCTTTCTCATCTCAGAAAATTGTGCAGTGACAACTAAAATGTAGGATTTCCAATCCCTTTCTGTATTGAGGACACATGATCATCAAGACAAAAAAAAAAAAGAATGTGAATCTCTCAGCACATTCACAGACCACAATTAAACTTGACAGGTGTTCCAACACTTCCCCACTCTATCCATCTCTAACATGAAAAGTTTTGGTTTTACATTACATAACCCATAACAGCCAATTAGAAGCCATCCCTCTGTGGTGGGTGCTTTCTATGTGGCAGGGGTTTAAGGAAGAAGGTGACAAAATTGTTTTTTTTTTTTAAAGGGTTTCAATCCAAGAGAAACTGGCTTTTACAAGAACACTTTATACTACTTCAATTTCACCATCTGAACAACAAGGCAAGTTCAAAAGAAAACAACAAAGTAGAAGTAAAGTGCAGGGTTCACATTCAGGAGATTGCTCAAAGTGTGCTTTCTTAAACTTTTGGGGCAGCTTGAATCTTCTTGCTTCAGTATCCACTCTAACAGCTGGTCAGTGCTACCAGTGTGCAGCCACAGATTATTCTAAAAGGAACCCAACTTGCTTCCCGGGTCCCAAGACTCTAACCCTCTCCAAATGAGGGGTGAGGCCCATCTGTCCCTAACAAGTGGATATCTATCCCGACCTACCCACTTCCCTGCAGCAAAAGGCTCTCCTTTGATGCAGAAGGGGATTGTGTCCAATTATGGCAGACGATACATTGGTCCCATACTGGGCTCCCCCTAGGGCCATTAATAAACAGTGGTCAAGTGACCTGTTTACTACTTTGAAACAACAAGGAAGTGACTAAGCGATCCCCGCTTTACTTCCCACACTGCTAGTCTGGAAAAACAACAGCATCCCTCCCGCGATTAGCAGCGGCCGTCACACTGCCTTCCTAAATCTTAACTGGTCCGAGTTCGGTAAACCTGATTGATTGCTATGGGTTTCTGCACTTGGCATAGGTCGGCTCTCTGAAAAAGCTTTCTGAATAAACAAAGCCACACACAGCCAGGTTGGTCCCAAAGAAAAACAGTGACAGACATATTTTGCTCCTTCGTATGAGCGTCTTAAGCACCAGGACCATCGACAAAACTCACCCAATAGTAACAGTGGCATGCAAGCAATACTTTTCCCCCTGTGCCTCAGAAAGAAAAGATCCTCTGCCAATTCGCAGGCAAACTTTTTTTTCCATGCAAACTGGCCTGTGTGCACACATTTTTGTGCATTCAAAAGCCACAAAGTACACAAAGAAAAAACAGAGAGAAGATGGATGATGACTGCTGGCCTTTCCCTGACAGAGATAGACTAGACAGTTGTTAGAAGTAAGGATGTGTGGGGACTTGGTTCAAACCCAGTTTACCCAAGCCCTTGCAAAATTGTGACTGCCCCACTCCCCTTCTGTCCCAATAGGTTGTGGCAGGGGCATTCCCGGCTCTTTTTTGATGTGTAGCTGCAGGGTGAAGAATGACCCAGGCTCCAAGTGATTGGGCCAGGAGGGATGTGTGTCAGTGACAGTTTGGCAAACTCAAGCTAACTGGGGTTATACCAAGCCCACACACATCAATACTTAGTAGCCATGGTAAAAAAAAAAGTTAGGGCCGGTGCACATCTAGGCTACTCCCCACCACGCAGCAATTTTGCAAGATTCCGCACGTCAGGAGTCGTCCAGGTGTGCACCGATCGCGCTGTGGGTGCCATTATTTTCCAATGGCATCCCAGTCGCACCGGGCGGATTCCGCCCATGCCTCTGAACGCGATCGCGGCTAAAACAGCCGTGCGCCGTTTACCGCGTGTTTCTGCGGGACGCGACGCGTGGCTATTTTAACCGTGCACGATTGCCGCGCAGCGGGGTGTCGCCTAGGTGTGCACCGGCCCTTATACCAAATGAAGCAAAACTACTATAAAATAGAATAAAGGTCAGAACACTGGTAAAGAGGACCTTTGCCCCCCAAAACCAAAAAACACAGGTGCATTCAGCTTCACATGCTGAATAGAAAACACGTTGCAGTCAAAGAGAAAACATTATTTGGGAGATCTTAAACTGGCATTTATTTCACTTCATGGTTTTCTGAGGCACTGGTGATGTACCCAGTGCTTTTCAGCTGCCCCTGGGAAGGCTACGTCAGCAGTGCGTTACAAGTAGAACTTGTGGTTAAACTGTGAGATCTTAGGGAAAACTGCCGAAAACAACCTTACCTCATACTAAATCAAATAGAATATTTCATAATACAGAACAGGCTTCTTTTCGGTCGTTAACATATAAATATTAATCAGACGAACTGTCTCAAGTCGTCCCCACTTATACAGACTAACACTGAATACTCATTAAACAGGCTGAACATGGGCATTGCATATGTGTACTTGGCGCATGTTAATTTGCAAGCACATATTCTTGAACATCCATGAATCAGGTTCATTTATAAAAAAAATAAAAAAGCAGAAACAGGAAGAAATAAGGTTCCTCTATTGGAACCAAATCCCTCTGTCATTGCTCTTTCCTCAGTTTCCCTCTGTCATTGCTCTTTCCTTTTTGTTCTGATGTATAGGCCAGTCTTAATAAGTTATGTTGGGCAGGTGGCCCTAAGTGGAGATAATTTATCAGAGCAGAACCTGTAGTCAGTGACATATGCTGGACATTATATAGCTATCTGCTCCCAGTTTAGATTTGTAATCATAGTCTCTGGTAGAGGGAGTGCTCCAGAACAAATTTATTTTGCCATGTGACCAAATGCCAGGAGACTAATACTGGAAAGCGTCGATATCTACCTAGAATAAAATGGCCAGTTGTTTCTATTTGGTCCATCCTCCTAAATTGGGAGGTATGCTAAGGTTAGGGCTACACGTGATGAAATTGCTTTGCTACTGGCAGATTATTTAACTGCTTGTTAGTAGTCACCTCATGTGTAGCTCACTGAAAAGTATGTGAATACTAATGACATAATTGCCAACAAGCATTCAAAGTTGACCTCCAGGCAGGTATCAAAGACGCACATTAATGCAGCTGTGTATTCATTAATAAATCATTAAATGCTCCTGCAAATTTTATCACAGAGCAAAGGCTGTTCATGTTAAAAGGTAGCGTATTTTACCCATATCATACTAATACTCTGGAGAGCAACATGTTATATTTAGGGTAAGGTATGGTCTTAAGAACAGAAGTTCTTTTATTTCTGGAAGCAAAAAAAACAACATAAAATGAGTTCCCGACAATAATTTTGCTCTTTAGTGTTAACACTGAAATGTCAAGAAATAACCCTTTCTCAGGGCAAACTCCAAGCCACAGGACAGGGGGGGGCTTCATTTCCCAAGGCACGCTTGTTTGGAAAAAGATGAACTTTCGTAGACCACAAATATTATTATTGTACCTAAAATAAGCTTTCATAGCCCAACACTGGAACAGAATTATTTTAATTTCAATCACTATGTCAGCCCATTCTCCAGCAACAAAAAGAAAATTAGCAAGCTTTTATGTGAAAGAGTGCACAGGTTCCTAAAGCAGTCAGTACGCGGAGACTAAAGTCCAAACATAAAGCTGAACTCCAAGATTAAAAAAAAAAAAAAAACAACCATTGCAGTGGGGCCATGACATGCAAGTACCATTCTGTCCA